TTTACTCAGACTTCTGATTACCAATATATGGCAGATTAGGTCCCCTGGTTGACCCTTACACTGAAAATAGTTAACAATACTGGATAGCATAGTTTTAAAATACTTCTTAAATGCATTGATGAGTAGGCATATGTAATGAAAATATAGGCCAAAAACTAGGAGAGGGAAGAAAGCCAGAGAGGGAAGGCAAGAAGGGAAGTGAGCTTTTATTTTGAGAGTATTTGGTGATTTGGAATGTCTGTTCTTAGAGTCACTAAGTCTGAGAGTGCAAAGACAAAGCCTAGGGACTGTCTAACGTGAGAAGTCTATTGAATATACCCACTCCATAGGGCTGCCCACTCTATGTAAAATGAGCCAAGAATAAGGGCTTAACCTGATAAAGGGTTTCTATATTTGGTGTTAAAGTGTTTTATCATTCTATTTAAGATTGAGAATAAGAGTTTTTGATCTTATCATTTCTTTTCGGCGTGATATCAGATGTAATAAGGCAAGAAAAAAACAGGAGATACAACAATTGAAAAGGAAGAAATAAAGTTCTGTTTGATGATAATATGATTGTATATGTAGAAAACTCCCGGAATATAAAGGCAAATTATTAATATTAATAGTAGTGTTTAACAGTGTTGTTGGACACAAGGTCAATAAACAACAAGCAATCGTATTTCTATGCCATCACCAAATAGAAATTTAAAAAAAAAAGAGCTTCAAGAATATAAAATACATAAAATAAATCTAATAAAAGTCATAGGAATTCCTTCCCCTCAGAAAGTTCAGACTCAAGGTGAAATTCTCTACTTGCCCTCTCCCATCCAGATCAAAGTGCTATCAGAGATTTTTGTCTTCAGGAAAATCCATTCATTCTGTTTGCCTCCCACTTAACAGCTCCCAACTTTCCACTCTAGTTCTTGTTTTTTCCTTTTTTGGGGAGAGATTAGAGATTTCCCCCTATTGCTGCCAAACCTGGTGAGATATTCCCCCAGAGTATTTGTGGAAAGGCCCTAGGTACTTTTGTATTGCAAATAATAATATAGTAATTGTAAAATATGTATCTTTGTCTTACTGTTAAAAACTTTAGATTTTTGGGTGTGATAGTGGTCATTTATTTAACAAATGTAGCAATCATTTCTTCTGTGTGCTAAGTATAAACTGGTAGTATAAAGATTGGTAAATATATTGTTACTTTCTCAAGGAGCTTTTTCTTCTCTTTCTTTAATTTCTTTTTAATCTTTTTAATTTGTTTTAGTGCAAAAAGGTGATTTTATTATAGCATGGGACAGGAACCGTGGGCAGAAAGAACTGCCCTGGGATTGTGAGGAGTGAATGATTATACATTTTTTAATTAGTGGTGGTTAGGGATAGTGCAAATCTCTAAGGAATTTGAAAGCAAGCCTTTCAGGACTTTAAGGGGACTAACTGCTGGTAAGATAAGGTTACTTTTAGTCTTTAATAAAACATAAATGTTAAGGTACTAAGGTGGCCGTGAGTACCATGAGGAAGGTCACACTCTGCATGTTTTAGGTATCAGAGGGCTGCTAACTGTAAGGAGATTTAATTTAATTTCTCTTGCCTCTGTTTACCTCATCATTTTCCCCCCTGAACAACGTTGACCCTTAAATCTTTAAGGTTGTTGAAGGCTGAAGGTCTCATTTTCTGTAGCTTCTTCCTGCTGAATAGAGGCTTAGAGATATCCCTACCTATGGTTCAAGGTTGGTCAGCTGAGAATTTAATAGGAGTTAGGAAAGGTTAAGGCAGCTGTTTTTAGAATTGATAACATACGGGAGTCTCCTTAAGTTTCATTTCTTTTCTTTTTCCCTTCCTTTTCCTTTTCCCCCCTTTTTTAATTAAATGTTTTTCCAGCTTATGTAGCTGTCAGAATCACCTGCAGTGTTTTTAAAACAGTGCAACTGTTCAGTACCCTTCTCTACAGTTTGTGATTCAATAGGGTGGAATCAGAGTTGATATTTTAAACAAATGCTGAATATGATTCTGATAATCAGGCAAATTTGGGAAACACTGGTCTAGTCATACATTGGAACAGCTATTTGAATGTGAACAATCATATTTGCAATGTTAGAAAACCTGTCTTCTTCCTGAAAACATAGAACCTGGCAATAGGGCAGTGCAGATAGAAACTGTACTTCATAATTTCCTTTATGTTAGTATATAAGTCACAGAAAAGGTAAATAGCATACTCAACATAAAAGGTGGGAGAGATGGGGGGAGGGGACTGTTATTTTGTGCTCAGGCAGTCTGACTTTATGGCTAGGCCATACCACCTTCTCATTCAGCACTGCATAGCCTTTCCAGGGATACCTCTAGGGATGGAGATCTCCTGATTTTAAAAAAGAGCCCTTTTCTATTGTTGGACACCTCTAATTTCTTCCTTGCAATAGATCAAACTCCTTCTTCCTATATATTTCTCACATTTTTTAGGTCAGACTTCTAGAGCAGGAACTGCAACCTAAATTCATTCAGGTTCAGGTTTAGTATAAAGAAATAATTGATTTCAGGTTTTTTAAAACCTGAGTCTGTTGGACATAGTTGGTCTAGTCTTTGATTTGCTTTAGATCAATATTAACTACCTTAATTTCCCCTTCCATATAATAACAGTTCTCATATTAGAAGGCAATGTCATGTTTACAGGTCAGTCCTCACCACCTCCTTCCCAGCCCAGAACACTGTGTTCTTGGACAAGCTATTTAACCTTTTTGAGACTCAATTTTCTCATCTGTGATTTCAGGATATTAATACTTATTGAAATGATTTTAAGATTAAAGTAATGTGGGATTCTAGGTATTCAATGAGGATAGGGTTTCTGTTTCCTTGTATCTAAAGGTACATATTTTAAGTATATTATGTGTGTATAACTGTACCTGAAACTTACTATATATCATCTATAACTAAAATATTTCCTATCAGCTTTCAAATCAGGGAAGAAGTAACTTTGTTGAAATGACTTGCTTTAAGAAAAACTTTTTAATTTTGTTGCTCATGGTTCTTATCCTTTTCTTAAATGTGTTAGTTTGATTTGTAAGATCAAAGTCATATTTTTTTGAAGTGTTGATTAACTTTGAGAAGTTTATTTTCAAGCTTATAAGCATATTGTCATTTCTAATACTATTATAAAGGTGATCTTATTTCTATTTTCAGCATTGCAGGGGGTCGGATACTCTCAGTGATAAAGATGCAGCTGATTAAAGGCCAAAACAGCAGGGATCCTTTTTGTAAAGCAGTAGAGGAAGTCACTCAGGATTTGGATTTGAGGATTAAAAATATTATCAATTCTCAACAAGGAGATGTAGTTGTTAGTACCACTGACATTAGTCCTGCACGGGTAATGAGCTTTTTATTTTTCATTATCCTTCTGCACAAAACATTATCGCTTCTACTTGTTATAAAAATGTTTTACTATTGCTACTTAAGTCAGAAGAATCTTTTTCCTGTGTTCTGAGATATTGAAAATTTAAAGTTTCTCAATAGGATTATGTAGGATTATGTTTGACTTGAAATAAATCATAACATCTTTGGGCCAAATTGTCTCTATTTGTTAAAGCAGCATATTGGATAATCTTCAGTATCCCTTGTAGCACTAGAAGTTTATAATTCCTGATGGATATTAAAATGTCTTACAATATTTTTCAATAATTATTCTTATGAAACCATTATTTTGCCATTTATTCAAATATAAAATCAAAGCAAGGTTTCTCTGGTTCTGGCCCAGGTCCTAGGTACTCTGTAGAATAACAGAAATGGTTTCTAATCAGTTTATTTTTATTTAATAGAATTTTTTCATCTTTATGATCTGGTGTTTTCTACCTCTATTACCAGTCTTCAGCAAACATCAGGATTTTTTACTATACTTAGAAATCTTTTAACCATATATTCCCAGAATGTTTACCTCTTGTCGTTTTTTGGTGCAAACTTGGACAGTATAATAACTATAGTATTATAGGAGAAATTGGCTACCATCTTTTCAGCTCTAAAAAGGAATTTGGGGGTATGTGTGACAATCCATTTGTTACAGTTTAATTCAAGGAACAAAAGCCCCTTTTCCTTAGATGTGATTGTGATAATCAGTGTATGAAGAAAGACTTTTGCTTATGTTTTATTATTCATCTATTATTATTATATATCTATTTTATTATTATCTGACTATTCATCTATTTTCATAGTCATGGGGAGCCATTTTTAGTTATTTTTCTGTAACAATGCATGTTTTCAGATTAATTGGAAGGTAGGACATAGAGGAGATCCCGGGTTGTTTAACCCACTGAGCCACCCAGGCGCCCTGAGATTCTGGGTTGTTGCCCCATGTGTTTCATGTGTGTTAATGCTTCCTGTGACTAGCTTGGCTCAAATGACAACCAGGTTATTACTATAAGTCTAAATCAGAAACTGTCATAGCTTAGGTAATTAAGAGCACCAGTCTCTGCCGTTTTCTGTCACAAGAAATAAAGATACAGACAACCTGGTTCTTAATTTTATGTTTTCAACCAAATCAGAAATCTTTGAAAAATACTGATAATTCTCAGTAAGTTAATATTAAACAATATGGACTGTTTCTTTGGTGCTGATGAAAAAATATATATTAAGCACATAGTCAATAGTAATGACTATTAATATAATAATATATGTTAGCACATATAATGTGATAACAGTCATTATTGTGATAAGCAGTTTGTTAAAATTCCAGTGTAGCTCTACAGTACAGTTTGGTCAAGCCCAGTAGAGAAAGGAGGCCAAGACCATATTGATAAAAGCTGAGGAAAATGGTACAGCTACAACAGATGTTCTAGAAAGGGCAACTTTGATACTTAGGCACAATGTCTAACATATTGTATGGGTGCACAATCATTCTATCATTACCCCTTTTTTACTAGTGATTTAACTGAAGCACAGTGAGGTTAAGGAACTTTCTCAGAATTATAAGCTATGTAACTACAGGTAAGTTGGTATCAAACCCAGCCAGAAATATTTTCAGAGTTTGTGCTTACATGTGTCTGCATATAATATTTTATTATCATCTATTTTCCCATATTCTGTCTGGTCATTAAGTTTTTGTAGCTCTGCTCTTAACCAGCTTTTTCTTTATCTGCACTGCTACTATTTTAGTTCACTGTGACTACCTTCTTCTTTTCCAGCCTGGGCTACTACAATCTCTTAATTTGTGGTCTTGTTTCCAGACTTAATAACATTCTTACCCTGGAATATATTTTATGCATTGCTGTCATTTTTTTATAATCTAAATAGGATCATTTATGTCCTAATAAAGGAAAAGATTTCAACTCCTTTAACAGATTGATTTACAATTTCTTTGCCAGGTTTATAGAGCTTTCCCAGATTCATCTCATATAACTCCTTACCCTGTTCTTCAGCCATATCATGTTAACCGGGTCCTTAAAAGTGCCGTGTTCCCTCCCACCCCTTTGTGTCTCCTCCTCCATGAAGCTATCCTTGATTCCAGAGTAAATTGATCAGTACTTTTGTGTGCTCCTATTGTACCATGTATACATTCTGTTAGAAATAGCACTTAGTACTTTACAATGCAGTTGTTGGTTACTTACTTATTTTATCAAGGAGACTATGGTTTACTTGAGGCAGTGGTGTTTTTTTTTTGTAGTCTTAGCTTCAAACACTTTGCTTAGGATTTGGTATGTACTTATCAATGAATTACTGAATAAATGAATATCAACTTGTTTTTAATTTTTGCATTTGAATAGATTTTTTAAAAAGATTTTATTTATTTATTAGAGAGAGAGGGGGAGAGAGAGCATGAGCTGGGAGAGAGGCAGCTGGAGAGGAAGAGGCAGGCTTCCTGCAGAGCAGGGAGCCTGTGGGGCTCAATCCCAGGACCCTGGGATCATGACCCAAGCCAAAGGCAGAAGCCTAAACAACTGAGCCATCCAGGTGCCCCACATTTGAATAGATCTTTACAACCATCTGTGAGGTTGGTATTCACATCAACAGAACCCCATCTCACTTTGGTATAACAAAGAAAAAGATAACACAGGGAGGCTAGGTCATGAAGCTAGCTAGGGATGCATAACTAGATAGTTACTAAATTTTCTGACTTAAAGCTGTATGTTATTTTAACCAGAACCAATATCTTCCCATGATGATACTATTTTCTCTCTCTCTCTCTCTTTTTTTTTGTTCTTTGGGAAGGTGATAAAATTGGTTTTAGTATGACTTGAGGAAGAAATATTACATGTCTTAAAGCCATTTCCCATGGCTGATTTTTTATAACTTAAACAACAGAAGGAGAACAGTGGCACAAGAAATAGAAAACAATAGCTGATTGCCCCAACTTTGGTGATTGTTACATTTACTTAATAGTATTTTTTTGTTCTAGCCAAAATCTTATGCCATAAACCATGGGACTGCATATTGTGGCAGAGATACTGTGAAAACTTTACTAGTTCTTTTGGACGAAGAAGCAGCCAGTATGCCTACCAAAAACAAAGCAGAGCTTTTATATGATGATGAAAACACAATTCATCATAATGGAATTTCTATTCTTACACTTTTTAGGTAAGTAATGTAGAAGTGATATGTATGTGAATGTTAACTCTAGTCTACAAAGGGAATAAAAAAAACATCTCATTGATTAAGAAGAAACTTGGAGACTATGGAAAAGTGTGAAGAAAGAAAACAAAAGCTTAAAGGGAGATTGAACATTTGGATATGAGGAAGTTTTTATAAAAACAGTCTTTTGTGAGAATATGACAGGTATTTTTGTTTTTATTTTTTTGCATTTGTTTTTGCTTGGAAATATTTATTTCCTTTGTTGTGTATGTCAACAATTTTGGTGACTGCTTTCAATTATATTACCTCAGCCCTCATGACAACATCTTTCAGTAATAGCCCCATGTCATAAGTTAAAAATTGGACACTTGAAAGACAGAGATTAAGTAATTTGCCTAAGAGAGTACAGTTAGCAAGTAGCAAAAGTTTCTTGTTCCAAAAATTAAGGTCCATCCTCCATGTATTGTGCTTCTCTGCATGAGAACAGGAGAGAGTGTGTACACCAGACTTACACTGAAATTGACATCTCTTAATTCTTCCTCTTACGGAGAAAAATACTTACCAGAGTAGTTTTGGTATTCTGTGCAAGATATTGATACACTCCAGTTTTAATAAGAGCTAGGTCAAACATTGAGAGGTTCGTGGTATTTGCATTAATGAACATTCGTTTATAGAAACGTAAAATTTTAAAACAATTTAAATTTTATTTAGTACATTGTGGAGAAACTTTACAAAGTCATCCTACTTATTTGCTGTCTTCTATTTTTCTCTTCTGTTTAAAGAGAAAACTTGCAATGGTCTGTCATTCAGTGTTGTCCTCCAGTGTATTTAAATCTCTTCACCAGGGGCACCTGGGTGGCTCAGTGGGTAAAGCTTCTGCCTTCGGCTCAGACTATGATGCCAGGGTCCTGGGATCGAGCCCCGCATCGGGCTGTCTGCTCAGCAGGGAGCCTGACTCCCCCTCTCTCTGCCTGCCTCTCTGCCTACTTGTGATCTCTGTCAAATAAATAAATAAAATCTTAATAAATAAATAAATAAATAAATCTCTTCACCAGGTTTTAATGATTAACCTTTTATATTTGGGCATGATAAAATTCACCCATTTTGTTCCTCAAAAGTGTTCAAATATTTTCCTAACAATGAAAATGTATTTTATCAATGTCTTATGAAAAGAGTAGAAAGAAAATGAACCTTTGTGTTTTCTTCTTTTACCTCACTTCTGTTCAACAAGTTTTGCTTTTTAGGTAAAAACATAAATGATTAAATTTTCTCTCAGATTCAATTCTACCTTTTTTTTTTTTTGGACAGACAGAGATCACAAGTAGGCAGAGAGGCAGGCAGAGAGAGAGAGAGGGAGAAGCAGGCTCCCTGCCGAGCAGAGAGCCTGATGCGGGGCTTGATCTCAGGACCCTGGGATCATGACCTGAGCCGAAGGCAGAGGCTTTAACCCACTGAGCCACCCAGGGGCCCAATTCTACCATTTTTTAAAAAGAAAGTTATTTTGTGTTTATAGAACTTTATTAAATAAAATCAATCCCTACATCCATTTTAAAAAAGTATTTTTCTCAACCATATGGCCAAACATATTTCAGTTGTTTACAGTTACCTTAGCATTTGCAGTTGTCATTGTGCAGACAAGTGCCAATTCATGGTAAAGTGAATTTTTTCATGGTCTGCATTGAAATGATAAAATTAAGGACAATGTGGTTTATGAATATAAGTCAATGTAAGGTTATAAACTAGTGTTTCTTAGAATAGACTCTTCTTTATTCTTATATAACAGTCTTTTGAGTTAAAGAGGTTATGACTCTGGCTCTGTTAAGCCAGAAAGGAATTTATTGAGGAATCCAGGCTTGTCTGGCTCCAAAGCTCCGGTGTTTCTTTCTCCATTGTGCCTTCTTTGACCGTCCTATTTCTGAACGGTATTTTTCTCTTGAATTCCCCTGCTACAGCACTTGTCCTTTTTTATTTTAAATTTTAGTTGTGTGGATATCTTATTTCCTTAGGCTTTAGGATGCCTGAATTCAGGGCAGTGAGTGAATCTACTTTCTATCCTTCATAATATCTTACACAGTGCCTTACATATATTAGAAACTCAAGTATGTAGTAATGGAATTAATTAACAGCAAATTATTAATATTTAGAACTCTCAGTAATAATACTGACACTTTTATGCAGTACTATAAACAACTAGATTTAGTTGTCTTTTTATTTTATTATTGCTTTTGGATAAGGGAGGGGCAAAAACGAGTTAAAAAGCTACTTTTGTTTATACATTTTTGCTTTTTTTGGACTTAGATCTCCCACACAAGTGAATAATTCATCAGTGAAAGCCCTAAGAGAACGCATCCATAAGTCAATGCAAGAGAAAAAAATTAAGGTATAGTTTAATGTACTGTTGTAAAAATGATAAAAATAGTTTTATTTGTGGAAGAAATATAGAAAGCTGAGCTGGATATTTAAATATATATTGTATATGGAACAATAGGAATTAAATGGAAAATGAGTTATGACACTGACACATAGAAACTTTCCTTTTATACAAGCTTGGCTAATCACTCTTTGGCTTATTCCATCTGCTGGACCTAAAGAAGGAAAGGAATAAGCACTTGCTATTGTAAATGTTCAGTACATATATATGCAGTGAATGAAGGGGAAAATCAGACATGATTTTCTCATTTACATTTCTCACATTTTAAACTAGATTTTGAGAGTCTATAAATTCCATTTGGTTCCTGTCTGAAGACATTACAATGTAGAATATCATTAATTGTAGATTAAGACAAGATGAACATTTCACATTGTTTATTGACTAGAGTTATTCTTTGTATTTTTATATCTTTATTTGATTTGAACTAAGTTTTCCTGTCCTCATTTCAAACACCTGTGCCTGTAAGTAGCCAATAGTATGTTTTTTAAGTGTTTAAAATTTTCTTGGTCTTATTTTTCAAAAAGAAACTTAGTCTTAACTCATTCAGTGTACATTTATTGAGCATCTACTATGTGCTAGATATACTCTTCTATGGTTGGCAATTTCGTTCATTTGTTCAACAAAATTTTCCTGTAAATTTACAATTACCTTTAATTATCAAGCAGTTATTCATCTTGATACAACTTTGAGAACTCTAATTTCTATGCTCTTTATATTCCTATTTGGAAAGTTAGTCCTAAATAGCAGAACTTTTAGTTATCATCAGTTTCATACCCAAAACCCATTTAGATTCTGTTAGTAAGTTTTGTCTTTATTTTGGTAATTTTTAGTTGTCAGAACTTAATACCTGTGGAATATATCACGGTGTTTTGTATAATTTTTCTATGAGTAAAATTTGTTAATCTTTTGTTATATTGCATAAGTACTTATAGTCAAGGCATAAGATCTTTTTAAAAAAATCCATTCTTTAATACATCCAAATGGCCAACAGACACATGAAAAAGTGCTCAACATCACTCTGCATCAGGGAAATACAAATCAAAACCTCAATGAGATACTACCTCACACCAGCCAGAATGGCTAAATTTAACAAGCTAGTAAATGACAGATGTTGACGAGGATGTGGAGAAAGGGGAACCCTCCTACACTGTTGGTGGGAATGCAAGCTGATGCAGCCACTGTGCAAAACAGTATGAAGATTCCTCAAAAAGTTGAAAATGGAGCTACTCTGTGACCCAGCAATTGCACTACTGGATATTTACCCTAAATATACAAATGTAGTGATCCGAAGGGGCACGTGCACCCGAATGTTTATAGCAGCAATGTCCACAATAGCCAAACTATGGAAAGAACCTAGATGTCCATCAACAGATGAATGGATAAAGAAGATATGGTTTATATATATAATGAAGTACTATGCAGCCATCAAAAAACCACTGAAATCTTGCCATTTGCAACGACATGGATGGAACTAGAGGGTATTATGCTAAGCAAAATAAGTCAATCAGAGAAAGCCAATTATCATATGATCTCTCTGAAATGAGGAATTTGAGAGGCAGGGCTGGGGGGGTTTATGGGGGGAAGGGAGAGAAAAAAATGAAACAAGATGGGACTGGGGAGGGAGACAAACTGTAAGTAAGAGACTCTTAATCTTAGGAAACAAACTGAGAGTTGCTGGGGGTGGGGGTGGGAGGGATAGGGTGGCTGAGTTATGGACATTGGGGAGGGTATGTGCTATGGTGGGTGCTGTGAATTGTGTAAGACTGATGATTCACAGACCTGTACCCCTGAAGCAAATAATAAACATTATATATTAATTAAAAAAAATCCTTCTTTGGACTTTATTAGTACCAGAAATGTGATGTATAAATTCTTTAATTTTTTCCCAGGCTATGGATACTGATAAACTTTAATATTTTTGTTTAAAGATCATTGGGATAATACCCTCTAGTTCCATCCATGTTGTTGCATATTGCAAGATTTCATTTTTTTCTTGTGGCTGAGCACTTTTATATATGTATATAAATATTCATATTTATATATGCATACATATATATACTACATCTTCTTTATCCATTTATCTGTCGATGGACATCTGTGCTCTTTTCATAGTTTGAACTAGAGGGTATTATACTAAGTGAAATAAATCAATCAGAGAAAGACAATTACATAATTTCGCTCATGTGTGGAATTTAAGAAACAAAACAGAAGAGCATAGAGGAGGGGGTGGGAAAGTAAAGCCAGACATAATCAGAGAGGGATACAAACCATAAGAGACTCTTAACCATAGGGAAAAAACAGGTTTGCTGGGGGAGAGGGGGATGGAAGAATAGGGTAATGGGGTGATGGGCATTAAGGGGGGCACATGATGTGTGAGCACTGGGTGTTATATGCAACTGATGGATCACTGAACTTTACCTCTGAAACTAATAATACACTATATATTAATTCATTGAATTTAAATTAAGAAAAGATCATTGGGATATTTTGTTAGAATTAAGAAAATCAAAATGATAATGTCTATATGAAGAATGAGAACGTTTTTATTATTTTTTTTTAGAAACTGCTAAGAGTCAGCTAATTACTATAAAATGTACAGACAAATTTATAAAGTTTTGGGAAGTAGAAGAGAGATTATCTAATACAGTCTCAAAAGCCTGAGAAAATACCTTATCTAAGATCTCATAACTACTATGAAATGTTTTATGCCAGTGTGCAAAGCCATGGTTAAATACTAATGAGATTAAATTTACATTGCTTCCGTTACTTAATAGGCTTAGTCTACTTGGCTCTGACACTAAATGGCAATAGGGAGAGGAAGGAATTGGTGTTTATGATTGTATTTTGCTGTATAGTGGTCTTTATAAAAGCAAAATGTGAAAATAATTGGTTTAGCCAGGTATACAGTGGAACCATAGCCAGCTAAAGTATTTTGTTGGAATAACAAAAAAAATATTACTAATATTTACTATGAAGTAACTATGGAAAAGTAGTTTAATAGCTTTTTGTCTTATTATCTGGTTACTTTTGCTCTTTTTGCATATGGTTTTTATAGACAGGGAAAGAATATATGATCTGTAGTTGAAATAGTATCTTGGAAAGAGCACTTCAAAAATAGAAAATATTAAGGAACTTAGAATTTTGATGTTGTAGATGGTAATTGTGAAGCAGTCATGTAATTATTATATGGGGCAAATTAACTTTTCTTAGATTTTAGTTTCCTATTTATTTATTTATTTAAAAGATTTTATTTATTTATTTGACAGACAGAGATCCCAAGTAGGCAGAGAGACAGGCAGAGAGAGAGGAAGGGAAGTAGACTCCCTGCTGAGCAGAGAGCCCGATGCGGGGCTCAATCCCAGTACCCTGGGATCATGACCTGAGCCCAAGGCAGAGGCTTTAACTCACTGAGCCACCCAGGTGCCCCTAGTTTCCCATTTATAATTAAAAATAGACACCCCTCTGTTCACAAAATCTTGTGAAACCATATTCATTTTAAGTCCTCAAGTTTTATTTCCTATTATTGCTTATTGGAAAACTTGTCAATGACAGTCAAAGAAATTCCCTTGTGATAGAAATCAGAAGGTTCTTTCTGAACCTTCATGGTTTTGATAGGAGTCTTTAGAAAATGTTTACATCCCATCCCCTGCCCCACCCCCAATTCCAAACAGTTCATGCAAGTATCCTCATACCTCTTTCTTTTTTTTTTCTTTCTTTTTTTTTTTAATTTAATTTATTTATTTGGCTGAGAGATCACCAGCAGGCAGAGAGGTAGGCAGACAGAGAGAGAGAGAGAAGCAGGTTCCCCGCTGAGCAGAGAGCCCAATACGGGGCTCGATCCCAGGACCCCGAGATCATGACCTGAGCTGAAGGCAGAGGCCTAACCCACTGAGCCACCCAGGTGCCCCCCTCATACCTCTTTCTTAAAAGATTTTCAAGAAGATACGTCCTTATATCCCTGTAAATTAATTAGTTTTATTCCTTTCAACTTGGTTTAGCAGGTTTTGCACATCAAGCACAATAGACAAGTCACATGACAGGTCTTTTCCTTATTTTGAGTCCAATGTTTTTTTTTCTCATATACATAAAGTAATACATAGAATAATCAGCCTTAACTGATTTAGTAACTTAGGTGAGCTGATCAGGAAAATACTGGATCTTTAAAACATAGAGTCGTTGGGACAGTGAAAATTAGGACTCAGGTAGGGTGAAAAATAGACTATCAATAACTGGTACCTTTATAAGCAGTCAGGCAGTCCAATGCTCATGGAGTTAGAAAATTCTTTTTTTTTTTTCCTTAGAAAATTCTTAATTAGATATCCAAGTTTAACCTTTAGTCTTAGAAAACTCTGAGTATATCCAAATTAAGATGGTAGATTGAACGTAACTCATAGAATTTCTCTTCCCTTAAAATGTCTATAAAATAATAACTAACAAAAACATTCACCAAGAGAAAACAATAAAAAAATAATGCAGTTAGATACAATAACTTCAAAAACGGTGGCCAAGGAAAGAAACTGAAGATTTTAGAGGGAAGAGGCACAGCATGACTTAGCAACTTAATACAGCCCAGTCCTTGGATACTATACTAGTGAGTTGACAAATCCTGAGAATTATCACTCATGTTTCCCAAATTGAGGAGCCAACTAAGTGTGTGTATTCTTTTTTTCCTCCCTTATCAGAAAAATAATAGAAGTGGCAATTAGATAGTAATGTGGCTTAAATGTGAAAAATGAACCCTGGAACTTACACACACAAATGAAGCCTCTAATGCCACATAATGTACCAGCGAAATTTCCCAAATGATCCCCTTCCATTTGAATGAGATATAGTGGCTAAGTAGAGGGAGTAAAACTTCCTATAGCACATATAACATATAATAAACTCTTAGGAAAGAGTGGAAACCAAGAAATGTTTTCAAACTGTTTCCTCTGATAAATGCTACTCCT